GGGACGTGCGACAGATAATGCTACATTATTTATCGTTTTAATTGTGGTGGTGTACCATGTATAATAGAGGTGCATGCATAAAATATGTAAATATTCTGCATCGTAGCTTCAATTCTTGGGATGCCATGGCCTTGCTTCACGTTTTATAGGTCCGGTAATTTTGACATTTGGACTGGGTTTGGGGGATTTGAAGCCGGACAGCGTCGCTGTGAGTGACCAGTGTTGTTATACCCATAGTAGGTATGGGCTTTTACAGCAAGGCATGTCCTCTTTTCCTATGCATATTGTATATGAAGGAATTATTTATTGGCAATTGATCATTTCATTAATAATCAAGAGCTCTGGTTATCATGTTTGGTGAGTCATTCCACTGTGAGTCGCATTTTGTAGATATTCTGTACAGTTTTCGCTTGTCCATTTTCCCTAACTTGTAAGCGATTTTGAGTAGGTGTAATAGCTGTCGGGACAGCTTCAGTGCCGGCTGTCTGTAGCTGCAGCCCCTCGCCAGGTACCGGGACACCAGTTGACCTAGCCTGGTTCCAGCTACTGTAGTCAGGACTGTGTGGCCAGGCCGGCTGACTGGGCCCTGTAGTTAGTCCGTAGTCGTACAGACTCCATACAGTCTCCTGAGTCGTCTGTCTGCCTGTGCATCCGTGTCTGACGGTGGATGGCGCGCCGCAGGCAGCCCCGCAGTCGCCGCCGACGCCGCGCCGGCCGCCGTTCGTTTGGCGGCGCGCTGACACGGCTCTGCTGGGTCGGCAGCCGGGCGCTCCGTCCGGCCGCCGGCCACCGGCCCTGCCGCGCTCGCGCAGCCTGGGCGCGCTGGCCGGCACCGGCCGCGGCCGCCACTGCCACTGCGCCTGCGCACAGCGGCCGCGCAGTGCTAGTGCCGAGCGGGCGTCCCGCGCTCCAGCCGCCACCGGCTCCCGGCAACGCTCCCGCTCCCTGGAGAGGCCTGACACCACCGGAGCAGGAGCGGGAGCCGTCACCGGCCGCAGCGAGCTCCACATGCCGCCAGGTACGGCGCCGGCGGAGAGGAGTGGTGGCATCGGGCACTTGGCGCGGGGAATGATAACGTCGATGTAACCGGGCGCTACGCTATAAAGGATGACGAAACTTTCAGACTTTCAGATGTTTAAATGCTGGACTACATATTTTCACACATCGCTGCTTCTGAAAAGAATGACTGACGCAATGATCGTGTGATACACCATCGATTACGACCTACCTGCTATTGAACAGGGAACACTTCACTTCATTGACGCAGCTCTAATTTGTCGAAGTGGACTTACGACTTCCAGAACCCTTCACGTTTGTCGCCTCTTTCCATCGACTCTATGCCCCCTGAGACTCTTCTGTGACCGGCTGTCCCCTCTCCTCCAGATTGGTGTTACGTATGCGGCGCCTATACCACCCACCACCGCTGTGCCGTCTGTGAGGCGTACCGGCGCTACTTTGGCCGAAACTACCCCGGTCACCATCACCTGGACTGCTGCAATTGCTACTGCCCGGTATGTGACGCTCGACAGAGGCGGCTGTAGGTAGCCCGGCCCTTGAGTGGACAGGGAGGCTACGATATGCGTTGTTTAGTCCGCTGTGTAGTATCGCGAACATTTGTCACAGTTGATAGTAACATATTCTGCATGAGCTATGACCGTGTCGTGATTCGCCAAAGTTTGTGACTGGCTCCGAGTTACAGCCTGTAGGGTAAAGTGCAGCTAATGTGCTGAAATTGCCGGTCTCCAGCGCTGAGCTGTGTTGGCTGACGTCTGTGTTCACTGTTGGCCAGGTGACGGCGCCAGCCCCGCGCTATTCGAGCCGGTGGCTGCACGACTCCGACTGCAGCTCCGACGACAGGTGAGGCTGGAGCGAACGATGACACTTATTGAAGACGGGGGAGAGATTGGTGATCTGTCTTACGGGAGATGGGAGAGCGATGGTTTATCTCACGGGAGACAGGGGACAAGTAAGAACGGTGGTGGGTCTCGCGGTAGGCCGTTAGTTTTACTTTTGACATCGAATACGTAATTGGACACTAAATCATCAGTTTTCAATTTGGGACAGGGCTCTGAGAGTGTGCGTCGGTATGCCTTGTATCGGCCATGGATTACCTTTGTGCCACTAACAGTGCAGGCTGGGTCAGCAATTGTCGCATTTTCGGGCATAGTCAGCGAAGCACGAAACATGATTGGGAAGTTTAGGCCATACATGCACTTATATGTCACATTGGGAAGGTCCTCAAAATGGAACTCCAAAATCATGCTCCCAGGGGTACCCGTCTATCCATCTACCCTGCATCACATTTAAACTCGCGCTAACCTACTCTCCCTGCGCCCCCTCTCCAACAGCTCGGCGGGCCGACCGTGGCTGGACCCTCCTCCACCAGTCGGCTGCACCAGTCAGCGCCAGGCCTACTACCAGAACATGGAGCAGCTGTACCGGCGGCTCTACCTGCAGGCGGCCCGGCGCGCCCGTCGCGAGGCACTGGCCTCCTGACTTCGGCGCCATCGCCGGCTGTGCCGCCGCTGCTGCCGGCTCGACTGCCGCTGCTGGCTGGAGGACTGAGCAAGCTAGACATCCGTCGGTAGGGGAAGGTCCGTCTGGGTCCGGTGAACTGCCTGGAGCTGACGCCGGTGACCGGCGAGACAGGACGGAGGTTTGGCTGAGCCCACGCCAGAGGAAGGTTGATACCATCGGCGCCAGGATCTCCTCACGACTGAGGACCCGATCTCCGGCTGGACTAGTAGTCTCCCGTCTCAGTCCGGCCGCAACGTAGCCACCCGGACCGTCTCTTCAGCGGCTGTCCTCGGCCAGCCCGGTCCTCCATAGCTCTCACTGCCAGTAGGTACCGCCATGACGCCAGTCAGGCCCGTCTATCCAGACGAAGGCTCCATAGCTGCCCGATTCCGAGGGACGGGCGGGGTGCGGCACTGGTCCTTCCCACATATCAACAGAGGAACGAGACATCCATGTCTTTACCTACTGCAGGTTAGATTGGTTTTAGATCTGCATTGTTGCATGCTCGTGGATTGCGCTTGCATTGGTTAGATAGCTGTGCATTGCACGCAGTTTGGTAGGACGTGGTGTAAGTCAGATAAGCGTTGCCCGCTGGCTGGTAGTTGTGTCATGGAAGCTGTTGAGTTCGAGACCGGTCCGTCCGCTGTTCCGTCCATCCAGGCTGGTGTGTGGCTCGCCTGTACGCAGGTCTGGTATTGGCTAGTCAGTGCTCTAGGGGAGATAGGGCGTCGTGTGTAGCGTAATAACGGCTAGAGACGTCTTGTGCCGGCTTCCCGTACGCTAACGTGTAAGTTTGTGCTTTTAGAGCGATTTAAGGCTGACGATGCGATTGGACGAGAGGTAACGATACGTTTTACGATCCTCGACTTTACACGAATTGATCCATGCGATGCGATATTCCATTACGAGACCTTTTTATATATGTTTGATATGCCTGTATTCTGACTAGTTCCAATTAAAATGATGTGTAACATTGATTCCGGTTCAATATTTCTAGTCCATGCGTTATTGGTTAGAAAATCTACGATCCACGCATAACATGCGTGTTCTTACGAGTCATCTGCATACATTTTTGCATCATTATACATTTGTATTGTTATATTATTTAGTCCTAGTATGACGATTGGTTGTTGCCGTCTGATATTTTACCAGCCATTATTCGAATTATGCGACATGTTTCGAGAGCGATGCGTAGTGAGTCGAACCGTGTGACATTTATTATTTGTGCTGTTGTGGGATTTTAGGCCTGTACACATTCAGCTGTTGTGCTGTTGTCAGCCGAAATAGGCTCCACCCACCGTTTCTGGCTGACGGAGTTGTACACATTCGGCTGATGAGAAATTTCAGCAGTGGCTGGCTGTCTACAAATGTGGCTTTGTAAACAAATATATCGTCTCATATTCATGTCCTTTATTAATACAATATTTTAATAGTTAGGTATATTATCAAAATATTTGCATATAGTATGCAATGGAAATATTTAGTCTTCTTGCATTGATAAATAATTATGAAAACAAAATAACGTGAAAAGCATCTATACAGTGTCGAATTTTCATTTATCTGCAGTACTTAGTAAAAATGTGGCACGTGATTTGTTTACATGCGCCACTACCAGTGTCTAAATGCGTCATTTATGGCTTATGCTGACGGCTTGGCATCTCTGCACTTGCTTTCTCCTGGCAGCACAGCTCGTCAGCCTATGCTGCCGTCAGCAGAGAGATGACGTCATGTTGCAAGTGCAACATGACGTCATTAATTTTTCAGCCAATAAGGTGAACGTTTCTCGGCTGACAACAGCACAACAGCTGAATGTGTACAGGCCTTTTATTCGTCGTCCACCTGCCTATTCAGTTTTAAATCATGGAGAAAAATCATGGAGCACGCTCCTCCCAAGCTACAGGTAGGGCCTAATCAAGAGGACGTTTTCATTTTGTCAGTACCACGTTTCTGGCACATACCTCGTTTAATAACAAAAAGTGTAGCAATTGTGACGAAATTAGCTCAGAGTTCCCGCGTAGGTACCGCATAGGTTGCTCGACCTTCTAGTCACCGTTTTAGTCACATGCGATGCCATTGTTACGTCGTTGTTTAATTTTATGAGCTGGCACCACGCACACGCCCGTTTACATGTTGTGCGATTACTGCATGAACTGAGACTTGAACACCAATGTGGAAGAACAATAAATCTGCACGAAACTGGGCTCGGAATTCTCTGCCGATGGGTGTCATTTCCCGAATGTCCTGACACATGAAAAGCCTGACTACCGTGACGGGTGCCAGTGCCTTGTCGTAAGGAATTATCTTGCTACAATACTGAGTTACTTAGGACTTCCTTCAAGAGCCCCTAATCGAGCCTGAGAACTGGACAACTACACGCGATCTACCGGTCCAAACTACAGTCATGGTGTGACATTCTATTTGATGTATTTTGTGATGACATGAAATATGAAGGCAGTTTTAAATGGATTAGCGCTCACATCCGCCACGCTAACATAACTATCCCAGCGAGAAACGAAAGGTCTCACGCATTCGTGAAACCTTACAGCGCTTACCGAGTTCGTGACATGGCGCCATCAAACACTGAAATAAACCACTACCGGCGCGGAGAACTACCTTCAAGCACTAGAGAATCAGAACGTGAAACATTTGCTCGGAAAAATGTCCATCGTTCACCGGCTCGCTAAGCATAGATCTATCAGCACTAGAGAATAACAGCGGCATACCCCACAGACCGCAGTCCCTATGGAAGACGCGAGGGGAGACGGACAGTGGCGCGGAAGGCTGGTCCGAGCGCAGACGACTCCTTACAGCTGCGGTCAGCGTCGGGAGCGAGTGCTGCGCGCCTGTCGCGCCGGTCTTCCGCTCTCCGCCGGCTGCTTAGACTGCTTTCGAGTAGAGCGGCCGCCGCGGGCCGACCGGCCGGCCGGGCGGGGCTTCTCTTCCTCTGATTCTTCTCCCTTCTCTCCATTCTCTTCTTCCTTCTCTTCCTCCTCTTCTGCGTCCTCCCCGGAGCTGGCGGCGGCCCGCCGCGCCGCGGGGGACACCACCTCTTCCTCTTCCTCGGCCTCCTCCTCCTCCGCGGAGGACCCTCCGTCGCTCGACGAGGCCGTCCTGCGGCGCGTGGCCCGCTGTCGGCTGGCGCTCAACGCCGAACGGCGCGGGGTCAGGTCCGCGGGCATGTTGGCCGCCTTCTCAGCACCTGTAGAGGCACACGGAGAACTTGTTATCGCAATGGTACCACATTATCATCACACCACAACTCAGCTACATTTATAATTTATTGATGTCTAACATTAAGCCGTCACAAGATAGGCCTAACGTTCTACATCAAACGATCAATTTCCGTAACGCAACGGAGAAAAGACTCAATAATCTTAAGTCTCGTGATCTGCCAGCGAAGCCGCCGGGCACTCACGCGCTGCTTTGGCGGCTGCTGCAGCCTGTTTCTTGGCGGCCGCGCGGTTGGCACCCGTGGCCGCGTTGTCGTCTTCTACGGCCTTATCTCGCGCCTCCTTCAGTCGGGTCTCGAACTCCTCGCAGGTGGCGCGTGCCTCGCCCGACTTGGACTGGAGGGGAGGAGTTATATGTCAGACGGTTTAAAGATGTGAGAGCAATGTCGGGCGAACGCTCGATGTCAGAGGGACAAAAAGCAGCCGCACGAGCAAAGTCTTCATTACGGAAGCGTTGCAGCGTTCACGTCATTCGTTACTCAAGCCATTCGCGTTTACATTCTGCTTACCCCCTGCTTGGCGTCGTTCCCGATCTTGCTAAAGCAGTCGAAAACGTCCTTTTCGTGGAGCTTTTCGGCGAAACACGAGAAGTTCTCCAGAAGTTTCTTCACACACCGATCACTGTTATGGTGAAAATCGATAAGACACAAGTCAAATGCAGAACACGCAGCAAGGTTGGACTTTTCGGAGAAAAACGGGTCTAGAACAAAGTCGAGTCTAATTTATTTCTTTGAACTACTTCATGAACTAAAACAGTGGTAAAAGGCAGCCCTTGGGGTTTCACGGTGTTTGGTTATTGCTCGGTCAATGGCACATTTCAAGAGAAAACAGCAAATTATTAACCCCAGCTATCGACAGACGGCACCTGTGTCGTTGTATAACAGCCCTCCGCAGCCAGCTGAGCATCCTGACCTGAAGTTGATGAGTGACAGGCAGAAGGCGAGGTCACGCCACTGCCGGGGCTCGGCCGCCGCCCGCAGACGGTGGCACAGCTTCTCCACCAGGGACTCCAGCTGGCGGTCCTTCTGGATCAGTCCGAGCACGAACCTGCCGCAGAGGGGACACGGTCAGGGCCAGACTCGGCATCAGAGGCGCTGGCGGTGCGACGAGTCCGCATGAAGCGCCCAGCATGGCAATTGGGGGATTAAGGCGCCCGAACTACATTCGGCGTCTATTTACGCATTATTCATCCATACGTTTTTACGTATACGCATCCAACTTTTCCTCCTGGACATTTGTAGCTCATCCTCCGAAAACGTCAGCTAGAATTTCATCAGCGGCTGTTACATCGCCAAACCCAAAGCTACAAACACGCTAGAAAACTGACCATGGGCACATTCCTAAAAGTTACAACAGCATCACATTAACGGATTAGTCGAGTAAGCTACAATCACCCTAACCCGGCTTGGATAGCACCAGGCTGCTCCTCGGAGCCTTCCTCAAACAGTACTCACTGCAGGACGGTGCGGAAATCGTCCTCCGGCAGGCCAACCTCCGGATCGGAGAGACGCGACACGATGTCTGGCAGCACGTTGTACAGCGCGTTACCCTTGTGCGCCAGCTCGCTGAAAAACTCCTTCGCCATCACTGAAACAAGGGAAGGACACAGGGGAGTCGGGTGAGTGCCGGAATGGATGGAAATTGTCAGGTAGGAGTTAGGCTCCAGGACGCCACCGAATATTTATCCCAGTAGGACGTTCGAATTCGAAAATAGTGACTTAATATAAGACGGTTTGTTTTTCAGCTGAATATTAAAACACCACACGCAAGGACATCGTCCTTCGGCATTCATCGATCGCACTCAATCCGGATGCCCGTCTCTCCGTCTCTTCTATCTATCCGTCTGTTCAACTTTCCTGTCTGTCCGTCTATTTCACCCTCCATCCGTTCACCCTCACTATCCCACGATACCCACAAATCCGCCCGCCGGGCCACCCACTATTCCGTCCGTCAGCCCCATCCATCCATCCGTGTCTGTCTGTTTCACCCGTCCGGCTCACCTCGCAGTGTCTCCTCCGAATCGACGAGCCGCTCGGCCACCTCGGAGATCTGACCTTTGACCTTGACCATGTCATTGAGGATCAGATGGGTAAGCACGGTCAGCGTGGTCCGTCGCACCCGCACCGAGTCGTCTCGCAGTCTGCCGGGCAGAGGTCACACACGGGTGTCACACAGAGACACATTGGGTCTGTTCCAGTCGCACTTCCCAAACGCCTCTATAAAACTCCTCCAAGAGCAAGATAGAGGAGGTTGGAGCAGGGCCCTCCTTGGCTTTGTAGGGGCTAGAGCTGCCACTGGAACAGGGAAGCAATCTTGGAGGAGTTTAGAGGTGTTAGGCCTGTTAGGAAGTGCGACTGGAACAGACCCATTGAAACGCAGCAAGGGAGGGAGAAACGCATTGAGGCGTCACATAGAGACATCTCGTGCGGCGCAGGTCACACATTGCACCAATCAGTTACTAGGCAGATGGCGAGTTGAGCACATACATCGGGCCATCTAAAGAGGCACACAGGCGCACTGCCGACAGCTCACCTGGCGTAGATGTTGGGCGTCCACGGCTCGACGAGGTTGGGGAAGCGGAACAGCATGTCGCCCAGCGCCACCAGCGTGTTGGAGCGGATGATGTCGTCGTTGGAGCGCTCCAGCACCGTGAACAGCAGCTGAACGGGAACGACGCGGTCATAACCAGAGAGAAATGACCATCGATAAAAAGGAATTTTATTAGCGGAAGCAGCCAAATTGGACTTGAAACGCACCACACAGAGAAAGCGTGACTCGATATTGGAGACATGTTATGCGTTATTACGCACTTCAAACGTAAAACATTTCAGTACGGAACACATTCAATCGAACCACTGCCGTTTGTTTGTAGGGGCTTTAGGGCAAACAGACTACAAACTAGTACAAAGCTCATTTTGCGCCCACTGAATACGTCCACTGTGAAATCATTTGGCAGATAATATGTTAGTCGACAAAATGTGAACAAATGAACAGCACCACACCCCACCACCACCACCAGGACCGGCCTTCTCACCTGCAGGTGTTCCTCACAGACCACAGAGGAGACCAGCATGAACTTGGAGAGCGCCAGCGCGGCGGCCCGTCGCACGTTCCGGTGCTGGAACCGCTCCGGCTCGCTGTTTATCTCCACCAGCAGCGGCCTGGAGGGCACGAGGAGCGGTGTCATCCCACCCGTGGCGTCCTAAAATACCACTGCTTGCCTGGTAGCGTAGGTAAATGTGTAGCGAAGTAGAGTGGAAGACAACGAAAAATGGGGATATGCTTGGCTGCAGTAGCATCAGTATCTATGTGGAAATGCATACAATACCGATAAGAGTCTACAAGCCACGTGCCAACCAAATAAGCCAAACGCCTGTCCATTGGCGGACTACAGAAAATAATTACTTTGAGACTTAAGAGCTATTCTGAGCGCCGCTGTCACCAATCTACCACACTGCACTTGATCCCCTGTCGGTCTGCACCAACTCTTAGGTAGGCCCGACAGACCCTGTGTCGGCCGACCCACACTCACAGACCCGCCCGACCCACACTCACAAGCAGGCCGCCAGATCCCGTGTTGGGTAGGCCGTCAGACCTTGTCAGGTAGACTACCAGACCCCAGGCCGTGTCGGCCCGCCAGTGCTGCACTCACACGTAGGCTGCCAGACCCCGTGTCAGATAGGCCGCTAGACCCCATGCCGTGTTGAACGGCTTACACTCACACGTAGGCGGCCAGACCCCGTGTTTAGTAGACCGCCAGACCCTATCAGTCAGGAAGGCCGTCAGACCCCAGCCCAGCCCGTCCCAGCCTGCCCGCACTCACACGTAGGCGGCCAGCAGTCCGTCGCCGTTCACCACGTGGTTTTCGCACAGACTGCTGATAAACTCGGCCTCCGTGTCGTTGGCGGCCGCTCCCATCAGCTCCTCATCCTCCTCGTCCCCGTCTTGTGAGAGCTGTGGGGGAGAGGGAGAGAGAGAACTGAACCATCTCAGAATTTTCCGTTGAAAAACTGCCTCCGAAAGCACCCGCCGGCCCCGTGGAGTAACGGTTAGCACTCAGGACTCTAAATCCTGCGATCCGAGTTCAAATCTCGGCGGGACCTCGGTTCCTTTTGATTTTTGAAGATAAGCGCGAGACACCAGTGTCCCAAAATTACAATTTGACTTGGGTGTCAGAGTGGAAAATTCGAACCCTTAAAGGCCAATAAGAGTGGAAAATTAGAAACAAAATGTGGGATATTAACTCAGTAAATGAGGAAAGCGGCACTGATTCTCAAGGAAGTTTAATATTACATCGCCGGAGTTAGGGGTTTTCCACTCACTTATGCCAAAGAGACATTTGAGAGTGGAAAATTCACTTTGAAAATCAAAAGTGAGAGTGGAAAATTATTCACCCTTGGGTGTCATCTCCCGCCCAAACCAACAAATTTTGAGACACTGCGAGACACTAGGAAAAAAAAAACTCGCATATCACTATTCACACAAGCCGGACTGCAAAGTATGGCACGCAGGTCGACGAGGCGCACCGGCCCAAGTTCAAAATCCGCACCAACCATTCAAACGGAGCCGGAAAATCCGCACCAAAGCGAGCCGAGAGCCCAAAATATCCGCACCGAACTAACAGGCAATTATAATGCAAGGGACTTCATTCATCTCACTATAATTATTTCCCCTCCAATTACAGTTTCACGAGCAACGCTCACCACGGGACCGCGACGCGCACTTGTACCGGAAGTTTGAAATAGAGCAAATAGACGGATGCCGGTGACAAAGGGCACCGGAGGGCATATTGGGTCACGTGACATTCGGAACTTCTCCCCTCTCTGTGGGCCTTCCACATGCTAAATGTCACGTATGAATTTGACGAGCCTTGATAAAATCGCCCCAACAAACTTTCGTACGAATAAAACTAATGACGTCATTCCAAAGTAGCGTGCTGATTGGCAATTCAAACCAGCTGCTCGCAAATGTGACATACCAGTCACCACCGCAACCGGCAACCAGTCTTCGTTCTAATGACATCGTCATCACGTTAATTTCTGAGGCGGGAATGATTTGTTCTGCCGCAATTGTAAGTTCGTAGAGTAAATTTAAAACCTTTCTCTGTCCGTGTCCGTCACCGTGCGTCACCGTGGCTGGCACGCATTTGTAGGGCTTTCCAAAGAACAGTCAACAAGGAAACCCGGCCAGGTAAGAAGACCAAGCGAAGTCCGCACCGCATCAAGGTCCAAGCCAAATCCGCACCGCACCAGGCAAAATCCGCACCGCACCACTCCAAAATCCGCACCAGCCGAACAAGCCCGCACCGACGAGATCTCGTCGAAATTGCCATAGTTTGCAGTCTGGCACACAAGAAGCATGATACGTCATCCCTAAATGATTCTGATAATATACAGATACACTGAACGACAGAACAGAGCGTGCGGAAATACTCTGACAAAAGTTTGTATATGTAATGCATGCTGCCAAGCCACCATCTCGCCTTCCACAGTTCCATACTGCTCACCGCTCACAGCTCAGGCACCGCTTGTTTGACCCAAGATTACTGGTTTGACCCTGCCGCAGTCAAAACGATCGAGGTCCCGCCGAGATTTGAACTCGGATCGCAGGATTCAGAGTCCTGAGTGCTAACCGTTACACCACGGGGCCGGTGAGAAACACGGGACAGCAGCCTCCGTGAAAAACGAGCCGTCTGATAATGAGCCCGCACCTTTCATCCGCATCACCCGTGACGTTTAGCCCAAAATGTATACCCCAGCAGAGCAGTTGCAGTGCCTACTGCCTGCAAAACAAGTTTGACCACGGAGCTATTAACGACTGCGACACCGCGCCGACGAATCTGTCAGAACCGGTCTGATTCGAGCGCAACCCGCGCTTACCCACACAGTCACACACCATCCCAACGCATCAGACGAATCCCCCATCATCCCATCACCGTACCGTCACCCTACATAGTACATACCCCTACCCGTCCTGCCCAACCCTCCAGCACTCACCCTGCGCCTGGCGTGCACCGGTGTGCCGCTGGCCGATCCGGGCGTCTCCTGCGAGCCGCGCTGGCTTGTCTTCCTACCAGCCGCCTCCTCTCGGATCCTATTCCTTCGCTTCAGCTCGGTGAACACGTAAACGTCGAGGTAAGTGAGGTGGCAGATGGCCGTATGACCGACCACGGAGAGCCAGCGGGCCATCTGAGCACTGCCGGCGCCCGCTACAGCGGCGTTCAGACGGCGCAGTAGAGACTCCATCAGCGAGTCGGGACGGTCCGACAGCTGGGGACGAACAGAGGGGGACGAGTTATACAGCTGGGGCCAGGGAGAGGGGAGATGGTTAGAGCTGCGGACGGGCAGCGGGAGACGGTCAGACAGCTGGGGACGGGCCGGGGAGACGGTCAGACAGCTGGGGACGGACAGAGGGGGAAGGTCAGATGGCTGGGGACGGACAGAGGGGAGACGGTCCGACAGCTGGGGAGGGGCAGAGAGGGGGACGGTCAGATGGCTCGAGCCGGGAAGAAGGGAGACGGTCAGAGCAGCTGGGGACAGGTCGGAGAGACGGTAGTACATAAGGCCTTGGGTAGTACGGTATAGCTGGGTACGGACCGGGGAGATGAGTTATACAGCTGGGGACGGGCCGGGATACGGTAATATGGCTGTGAACGGACAGGGGAGACGGTCACACTGCTGGGGACGGACCGAATTTATCATGCCGAAGCCATTGTCATTGTCGAAAAAGTGCATTCCTTTCTGTCAGACCACAGTCCGCTCTTTACTTCATCAAAACGGAGTACCGTCAGCCTTGTCAGGTCATAGAGGCCCAAATACACAGAGTTTGCTACACCTTTTGAGTACAGAGGTCTAATGATAGGAACTACATAAAGACTGACACCATCCCGATCCCCCGTCCCGACCTGGTAGATGACTTCGAGGGCCGCGTGCGCCATGGGCGTGTAGAAGACGTCCTCGGTGTGCGGCAGGCCGGCCACCAGGATGTCGGCGAGAAGAGCAAACAGCTGGTGGTCCGGAGCCAGTCTGGTCACAGAACAGGGGGGGGGAGTGAATCAGACGTCTCCACATTACACAAGGACAATATACCCAGCTGCAGGGGGGATACCCTTTGTTTTCATCACAGTAGCACTTCTGTTAACTTGAACCATCTTATCAAACAAGGATAATTACATAAACTCTTGAGTCGCCGCGCCTTTTGTTACGCTACACACGAACTCACATTATTATAGCAGAATATCACCTTGAAAATAGCTCAGACTGTCGAAACCGTGGTAGCACATACCCTTTTGCAGCTCGGCCTTTTGCAGTATCAACCTCTCCCGTCTCCCTATTTTATGGGGTTGCAAAAACTGTATTTCCCAGCCCACTCAAATTACACCTCAATCCACCATCAGTCAACACAACCCCAGCGACTGACCTGAGCGGCGGCAGCGGGTCGTCGGCGCGCGGTTTTTTGGGCGCCATTTTCAGCACGGCCGTGCAGATACTCTGTATCATTCGGAAATCGGGGGGCTTCCCGTCCGTGCCGCCGCCGCTGCCGCGCAGACCGTGCTCGACCAGGACGTCCAGGTTGGTGCTCACTACACTCGGCTCGGCACTGCGGAAACACACAAAGAGGTAAATATAGAAACACAGAGTCACAGCACTGGCTCGGCGCTATCAAACAGTGAGAGTGACAAAGACAATCAGACATACAGAAACTGACAAACATACTTAATCGACCCTCGACATCAGCATATAGGCAGTTATAGATCCACACCTACAGACAAAGGCATACAGACCGAAAATCAATGAGTTAGCGACAGTCCGAAAGCAAACCTGCGTCGAGTGGATAATATTGGGTGCGACGGGCACCAAACCTAAAATATGAATGGAACAGCTCACACAGGTTATTATTGAGCACTATTGTAACATGTGGAAAAATGGGACCATTTTGCACAACATATGAATGAATCCGTACACCAGAAGTACGGATAGACCCAAACAGATCGCCCAACGTGGGGCTCGAACCCACGACCCTGGGATTAAGAGTCCCATGCTCTACCGACTGAGCTAGCCGGGCACGCCACAACGCCGTCAGAAGCGCAGTTAAATAACGGAGCGCCAGCTGTCAGGCGCTCCCAGCGCGCGGCTGCTCCAAACGTCACCCCTCCTTACCGCCAACCCCCGCTCTCCCTCCGCCCCGTTTCTCTCACCCGGCCACCATGCCGATGAGTATAAGCGCGGCGCGCCGGGCGGCCGCCGGCTGCTCGCCAGCCGTCCCGGTGAACCTCTCCCAGAGCAGCTGGATACAGGCGGGCCCGATCTGGCCGGAGCCCACCAGCTGCACGACCAGCTCCTCGAGAGCGGTCAGCTCGGAGAGAGAGGCGTCCTCACAGAGAGCGGACAGGTTGGTCACCACCTGGTGCGCCCGGAACCTGCAGAGGTACCGGTGGTTAGACGACGGATCGGAACCATCGACAGATCACTCAGGCAGGCTTCCCATATTACATGGTTAAACACGAAACAGTGCCGCAGCAATAATACAAAATAGTAAATAGTTACCATGACATGCTTACATGAATTATGGTATATTTATGATTATCGCTCGATACATAAACTTCGCTGAAACAACTGACAGGATTGGCCACAGGAGCTGACCACTCGGCACATTACACACGTCACACGCACCTCTCGTTGCCCTCGGTGGGAATGTAGAGCCGCTTGTAGGCGTCCACCACGGCCTCTTTGATGCCCTTCTCCTTGGACCAGATCAGGTTGAGCATCTGTCTGATGCCCACCATCGCCTTCAGAAGGCCGAACTCGAACGCTGCATGACGGGTGAATACCAGTCAAGCCACCAGAATCAAATAAACTAAACCGGTCATAATCCAGCTCCAGACATTGATGAGATTTAAACCGTAAAACGAGCAACTTATGAGCGCATCCCTCTGGACTTGGTCTGCACATGCGTGCACGTCCGCTATAAGAAACCAAATAAAGACACCCTGATTCTAGGAAGTTTCGACTAATTTAATCGAGGACACGGCATGTGCTTTCAAAGCGACAGACGTTTCCATCCAGTCCGTATCAAGATGATTCATCTCTCACCGGTGACGAAGAAGGACACAGCCTCCAGAATGTCCGAGGTCTGAGCCGAGCCCAGAAAGCCGCAGATGTCGGGAATGGCCTCGTCAATCAGACGGGCGAACACTACCGAGTCCTGCAACAAGCGGGGAAATCTGTCATATGTCGTTCTGTGGTTGTCGGAAGGGAGATAATAGTGTGGGACGGTTACGAGTTACGACCCATAATTGCAAGAAAAAAAAATCGATCTCAGTGATTAAATGAACATCAGTAACACAAACAAGCGAAACTTCCTAGCAGCTCAGGATGACTCATCGAAGTTCCGAGTTGGTGACTGGTGCTGATTGGAAAAGTAGCTAAACGTACTGCGAAGGAAAACAGTCGTCAAAAGTTTCCTACGCCAGTCGAAACAAGCAGCTGCGTTCCCTGGCTCACGTATCCGAACTAAAACCAGCGTCCATGATGCAACAGCCTGCTCTCCACACATCTCACCAATCTCCAGGAAAGAGCGCACCTTGAAGTAGAGCACCATCATCTTCTGCTTGTCCACCTGCATCTGCTTGTCCGGATCGCCGGTGGCGTCGGCAGCCATGACCAGAGCATCCAGCGCCGCCGCCAGCTCCTCTCGCGTCATCGAAACAACCTCCTCCTTCGCAGGCTCCTGCTCCTCAGAATCCTGGCTCTCCTTGGCCGACTCCTGGGAATCCTTGGCCTCCTGGGAGTCCTTGGCGGGTCCGCCGGCGGTCGGCAGCAGGCCCGGCAGCAGAGCGGGCTGAGCCAGCAGCTGGTCAGCAGCAGCAGCGGCGTCCAGCTGACCGTCAGCCGTCAGCAGGGCCAGTAGCTGCTGACGGGACTCCTGCAGCGACGGGTCGGCTGTATCTGAGGGAACGGCATTGACGCCGTCTGTCAGGAGAGTCGACACTGATAGGTTCACAGCGGTCATTAAATCAACATCGGACTATCATGAAGTCTGCTCCGACTGAATGACAATAATCGACATCGAATGGGACCCAAGGGTCAAGGCCCTCTAAAAACAAGGGTTAACCCATCTGGGTATGTTCATTGCTTACCTTTTACAGCTGCAGCAGTCAGCACCGTTTCGATGTGCTTCCTGGCCTTGTTGACGGCCTTGGTGAGGACATCCTCCTCCTCCTCTTCTTCCTCTTCCTCGTCGTCATCGTCCTCTGCCTTTTCCTCGCCGTCCTCCTCCAGTTCCACGCCGAGCTCGGCCAGCTTGGCCCGCTCCGCCTTGTACTGCTGCTCCAGCTCGGCCACCGGCAGCTGCCAGACGTTAGCGGGCTCATATTAGTACGTACAGTTACACAACCACCGGCAGCTGCCGGACGTTAGCGGGCTCATATTAGTACAGTACCTACGGCCATAGGCAGCTGCCGAACGCGGCAGGCTCATATTAGTACAGTACGGCCACCGGCAGCTGCCGGACGTTAGCGGGCTCATAGTACAGTACGGCCAACGGCAGCTGCCGGACGTTAGCGGGCAGGTTCATATTAGTACAGGACGGCCACCGGTAGCTGCCGGACGTTAGCGGGCTCATATTAGTACAGAACCGCCACCGGCAGCTGCCGGACGTTAGCGTGCTCATATTAGTACAGTACCGCCACCGGCAGCTGCCGGACGTTAGCAGGCTCATATTAGTACAGTACGGCCACCGGCAGCTGCCGGACGTTAGGGGGCTCATATTAATACAGTACGGCCACCGGTAGACCGGCAGCTGCCGGACGTTAGCGGGCGGGCCCATATTAGTACAGTACGGCCACCGGCAGCTGCCGGACGTTAGCGGGCTCATATTAGTACAGTACGGCCACCGGTAGAGCGGCAGCTGCCGGACGTTAGCGGGCTCATATTAGTACAGTACGGCCACTGGTAGATCGGCAGCTGCCGGACGTTAGCGAGCTCATATTAATACAGTACGGCCACCGGTAGACCGGCAGCTGCCGGACGTTAGCGGGCGGGCCCATGTTAGTACAGTACGGCCACCGGTAGCTGCCGGACGTTAGCGGGCTCATATTAGTACAGTACCGGTAGCTGCCAGACGTTGGCGGGCTCATATTAGTACAGGACGGCCACCGGTAGCTGTCGGACGTTAGCGGGCTCATATTAGTACAGTACGGCCACCGGCAGCTGCCGGACGTTAGCGGGCTCATATTAGTACAGTACCGCCACCGGCAGCTGCCGGACGTTAGGGGGCTCATATTAGTACAGTACCGCCACCGGCAGCTGCCGGACGTTAGCGGGCCCATATTAGTACAGTACGGCCACCGGCAGCTGCCAGACGTTGGCGGGCTCATATTAGTACAGTACGGCCAGCGGCAGCTGCCGGACGTTAGCGGACTCATATTAGTACAGTACGGCCACCGGTAGACCGGCAGCTGCCGGACGTTAGCAGGCTCATATTAGTACAGTACGGCCACCGGCAGCTGCCGGACGTTAGCAGGCTCATATTAGTACAGTACGGCCACCGGCAGCTGCCGGACGTTAGCAGGTTCATATTAGTACAGGACGGCCACCGGTAGCTGCCGGACGTTAGCGGGCTCATATTAGTACAGTACCGCCACCGGCAGCTGCCGGACGTTAGCGGGCTCATATTAGTACAGTACGGCCATAGGCAGCTGCCGGACGCGGCAGGGGTAACGGGAGAACGCTAGTATAGCGCTACCAATGGTGCCACATCAGCACGGCATGGTCAGTGGTCATCAGGCATGCTAACATTGCCAGTTGGCCTAGCAAAAATATGAAGGAGCTGCATATTTTCAGTGACACACAATATATCGTTATTCGCTGAGTGTTGCCACAGCTGCTGTTACCTCAGTAGTAGGTAACAACCGCTAATAAAGTCAGATTGTTCAACGCACCCATCGAACTCGTTTCCTAACGTTTCTGTACTATCATCTAAGCCCCTTTTCCCATCTTTATCAGCCTCTCCTCCACCCACCTTGGCGGCGAACGGGTTGGCCTGCAGGAAGGCGGTGACGAGCTGGAGCGCGGCGCGCCGCACGTTACTCGACGTATCCCTCAGTCGACCGACGGCCCGTCGCAGTACCGCGCGCTGCCAACTGAGCGGCACTGCACCCTCCGACACCAGACGTTTCCAGATCTGCAGAGCCTTGGTGCGCACGAACGCGTGTATGTCGTGCATGTGCTGCTTGAGCGCGTCGAGAAAGTCGTCCCGCAGAGCGCGCTGCCTCTGCTCCAGCTGCTCGCCGTTGAGCACGTGGCTGATCATGTCGCCCAGGATGGCCAGCACCGCGTTACGCATTAGATAAGACTGGCGAAAGGGACGGGAGGGAGGAGTGTCAGTCGGTGGTACTGCTCTAGCTGTTACGCTTCAAGCGATACTAGGGAAGATGAGAGATGGGGACAAATTCACATCACCTACTAAATCTACTGACAACCATGATAGAGCCCCATCTGTTTTGTTAAGCTTAAAACGCTAAAGTTTACTTCCTTCGACCTACCTCTTCACAGCCCTTATCTACCCAGCAGCCCCGCTTCCCCTCGCCCTCCGCCCAACATACCTCGCCATCCAGATGGCCGATGAGTAAGCAGATGTTGTTGAGCACCAGGTCAGGCGCCTGCACGGCCACCAGGCTCAGGAACTCGGCGTAGTGGCGCGTGGCGGCACCGTCCTTGGCCAGGTCCTCGGCGTCTGTGCCGGCGATCTCCCGCACCATGTCGTTGATGAGGCCGCGGCCCTGGTACTCGAGCGCTATGGTGACGGCGCCCTGCGCCAGAGGCGCCGGACAGTGCTCGTACTGCTGCAGCATCTGTGGAAAAGGGGGTGGGGTGGCGTGAGACGGTGCTCGAAACGGGACTGGGTGGCGGCAGTGATAGCAGTGTGAATTTTTAATCGGCCCCACAAGTCAGCGGTGAAACCAAGCCACCATGCATTTTTCTTACGCTGCTAGACTGGTGCGGTGTCGCAAAAAGACAAATATAATTAGCGTAATAAGCCAGTCTCAACCCAATATAATGCCAAAGAGTAGCTCAAAAACACATCACGACCTAACGCAAACCTTGAGGCCGGTGAAGCCCAACTGCCAGTCAGCCACTGCTAGCACACCATTCCCGTTCACACAGCCGAGGTAGCACCACCCGACCCCATCCGTACCTGAATCATCTTGAGGCTGCAACTGAGCGAGTGCCCGTAGGAGCGCACCAGGGTGCCCAGCACCTGGAAGATGCTCTCCCGCAGCTGCTTGTTACGGACGTGGCCCACGCTCGTCAGCGACAGAAAATGATAGCACACGTTTCCAATCGCGCTGAAGCACGGGGAAGCCGAGTTAGAAGCGGCAATAGACGTCGGTATTCGGTCACATGCAGACAGCAGAAGGCACTTAATGCTCACAGCTAGACATTTTGGTAATGTACACAAGTAGCCATGGCACAATGACCAATGACGTGCCACTTATAGGATTGCATTTAGTCTTTGGATATATTAGATTATTGACACAGCAACGCTTTTCAACATAAAACATGAAAATCCATACACAATAGTATCAAGGTCTACGCACCAAATGTATCAAGGTACAGATCTGTCAGAACCAGGTCGACCCTAACCATAACGCTACTCCCCGAGTCGAGCCTCCCATCCCGGTATCCGCACACCACGTTCCCACTGCGCACGTGCACGTACTTGACAAACTCCTCGTCGGGCACGGGCGGCTCCCAGAGCCGGCGCAGCTGCAGCTGCAGCACCGCGTACAGCTGGCGGAGCACGCGGAACCGCTGCGGCTCCCAGTCGACCGTCGACTCCTCCGAGCTGGCCGATTTGGCTGCTTTCCTCTGGCCCTATGAGTCGTAGGACAGTGGGACCACGTCAGTACGGTATGGACTAACGTACGGTACGGTATACGATGTGGACTCACAGGCTGTGGCAGCCCGGGGAGTAAGAACCGTTTAAAGGTGGAGCGCACCTGAGTGTGGACTGTGGAACACATACTTAGTGAGGTAATCCCCCTCGATTCGCTTCAATATATCGCTCCCGTCAATGTCACAACTGTTAGGATAGTCATCGATTTTGATTGTGATAAAACGATAAGCGGGAAACGGCGTCTGAAGGTAAGTAAGTCACACAATATATTAGTTTTCTCATACCGCCAAAGGTCATGCCACTTAAGTCCAGGGCTGCGGAGTGGATGGATTTTCGGCGACTCCCACTCCGACTCCGACTCCAGCTCTCAAAGACTAACTCTGACTCCGACTCCGACTCCCGGCAGAACTGTCGACTCCAACCGACTCCAACTCCCGACTCCGACCCCGCAGCACTGCCAGGTCTGCGGAGTCGATAAATTTTCGGTGACTCAGACTCCGACTCCGGCTTCAAAAACCGACTCCGACTCCGACTACGGGAAGACCTGTCGACCCCAACCGACTCCGACTCCGCAGCCTTGCTAAAGTCATTAAGCGTCAATATCTCCCTATTGGATATCTTTGACAATGGGCTCATAGCTGGCAAAATAGTCGCAAAAAATTGATGGCTGCATCATGAAACTTATATAAAATCGCTCAATTTTACCTCAAGACTAACCGTATTGTCGCCCAGAGGGTAGACATAACCATAACGAAGTCAACTTAAAAAGTGTCCTCGAAATTCTAAAAGCAATCGTTGATGTCGCTTAGACATGTATGTACTTCAATCAAGGCGTGATTGTCTCATCGTTTCAATCAACAGCCTCATTGATAGAATATTTATACGCGTAATAAAAGGAGAGCGAAAAGGCAAAAGACGTTAACACTGACCATGTAGTCAGGGTGAGTCAGGTCTTCAAAATCGGCCTGTGTGCGATCGACCATCCCTCCGTGACCTGTTCCAAATATCGTAGTGGTGCTGAACAAGACCCCAAAATGAAATCCCTTAGTTGAGCCCCTGGAGAGCATCAAAACAAACAAAACACGTATCTATTCAATCATAGCCTCAGTCTTTTCTTTTATTATTAAGATCACAATAAATCGCAATGCATGCAGTACAATTAAGGCGCATCATCATATCCAGATGGTAGACCTCTAGACTGCTGATAATGCCATACATCTGTGATACGAAACCAGATTGAGCCACAACGCCGCTTGTCATGTGCTTCTGACAGCGATGAAGGTTAGATGGTAGGCGACAGTGTCAGGTCGGATCACTGGGGTCATTTTTCACTTTGCATACACTGAATTGTTCTGGTTTCCAGAGTGAAATATGGCCTCGTATGCCAAAACACACAATCAATAGACATTACGCACGTAGCACGTTGGTCAATACGGATCCTGAAAAACGAGCACCAACGCCAACGTAACTGCTCCAAAGATGCCCACACCGACTGATGCTCTTCTGGCACCCCTACTCGGCAATATGTGGCCATCCGTCTCTTTCGTGGATTCGTCATCAGGCGCTGCCAGATCCTGGCTTATCGCACCGTTCAGTCGAGTGGAGGAAGGCTGAATCATTTTGAAAGCCGGTTCTGACTCCGGCGTTGTCAGAATTGCGTCTGAGCTTGGCAGACTTGCTGTTGTTGGTGTTGCTGCTGCTGTCTCCGCCGTCGTTGTTGTTCCAGCCGAAGCTGTTGTCTCCGCTGTTGATGTAGTCGGCATTTCGGTCATCACAACAGCTGGCCTTACGGCTCCACGCAACGGCGTGAGCTTTTCCGACAGTCCGGTGAAGTCGCTGCCGTGATCGACAGGAAACGGTAGTGGTTGCGGCTCGATGCGCCGAGTCTCGACGGGCACACACTGGCCGCCGATCCTTTGGTGGCCAGCCGTACAGGGGAGCCAGATGACAGCGCCGTGGTAGTTGACATTAAAATTAAATCCGTTGGCAACACCAAAGCTCCAAGCCACAATCAGATACATAAAAAGGTGGTGGTAAATCTGGCGATGCATCTTCTCCGGGAATACTTCTCTTCACGATACGCAAGAAAGCATTAAAAGTCTTCGATTCATTAATAGCCTTGTCTGCAAATCAAGAACAGCTCGGCGCTCACAGTCTCTTGTGGAAACTCCCAACGTCACTGGCAGGGCTGTGTTGTTTGCTGACTTTCAAACCTAGTGTGAATCCGCCCGGATCACTTCGTGGACGCGCAGTGCAGCAGTCTGTTTCACAAAGCAGCGCCTTGTCCAACTGTCCTCTGCACCCTATCAGTGATCACTGCGAGGTCGCCGTGCGGAAGTCAGAAGGCAGAGTAGTGCGCGGGAAAATCCGCAGTAGAGATGAAGTATTTCATGGTCGCTCTCCATACGGGGATATTACCAAGAATGTCGGTAGATAAGCCGTCGGATAGAAAGCGACAAAAAAATGACGCAACCATGATGATGATGATGATGAATTGGGATTTTTGGGCGCCCGGACTACAGTGATCTTCGGCGCCCAATGACGCAACCATATTCATTGGCAAACATAGGTATGTTCGGCTTAGAATAGAATTGCGCTATTTTCAGAATGAATCGGAATGAAACTGAGAACTGTGAGACAAATCATTCATTCGCCGACAGTTGACAAAACATAACTGTGTATGGGGCTTCTGAATGTAAATATGATCGAGTGTCACAGCTGGTCTCAAGGGCAGCGCCGTAAAAAAAAAAACCTGCACCACTATATTGCAACACTGTCCACCTCCTACCAACGGATAGGGGAGGAAGGGAGGACATATAGCACGAATAAGGCGGTCGCCGTATGTAGGTAATACCGGGAAAGAGCACGAACAGCCTACTCTTTCCTTTTGTATCTGGAAGCAGGAAGCTAGTATCTACCAGTGCGTGATGTCTATTGTCTATTCATTTCCATCCATAATAAAAGGGGCGTAAGTCCGCAAGCTTCGCCCGTGATGATGGCCGGTGCCCAGCCTCACCCTTCCCGTGATGGTCACTGCCCTGCCTCACCTTTCCCGTGGTGATGTTCATTGCCCTGCCTCACCTTTCCAGTGGTAATGTTCGCTGCCCAGCCTCCCCCTTCCCGTGGTAATGTTCGCCGCCCAGTCTCACCTTCCCCGTGATGATGGTCGCTGCCCAGTCTCACCTTTCCCGTGATGTTCACTGCCCTGCCTCACCCTTCCCGTGATATTCACTGCCCAGCCTCAACTCTCCCGTTGTGATGATCGCCGCCCAGTCTCACCTTCCCCGTTGTGATGATGTCGGCCGGCTGCTGGGCGGCATCTTCGAACGCCTCGGCCAGCTGACACAGCACGTACGTGCTCATCTTCAGCAGGTTCAGGTACCTGAGTCGCGTCTCCGAGTCCAGACAGTCCTCTGACTCCAGCAGCGCCGACAGGTCCCCGGTCAGGTAAACGAAACCTGCCGATCAGCCAGAGGTGTTTAGGCACGTATGGGTTGGCTCCGCACAACCAAATTGGTAGGTACAAAGATGTGGCCTATCACAAATGTCATACAATGAAAGCATTGATAGCAATAAATATGAGTATTGAAAGTCACATCACCATGGCAAAAAAAAAATATATATTAAATCAACCAAGAAGGTTGCAACATACCTTTGTTCACAGTTTCCCATATCTGCTCTCGATCAGCAGTCTTCAGAGACGAGAAGTTAACTACGGAGCTGAAGAGAAGATCAAATTTGTCCAGGACAAACTCCCCCCGATCAGTGGACAGAGCGACAACAAGATCTGAAAACGGATTAATAATTAATAGCAACACTAGCATTGATGATGAACATACATTGATGTAGGTAGGTACCTAGATACCATTTTGTTTAGGTGCCTTCTTTTGCTCATGTGTGATTGATCATTTTATGCATATAAGTCATTCACTTAATTTCTGATAAATTCATGGGATATTCATATGACAGTGATGATAATTTGGGGATAAGGGAGCCCAGACTGCAATGCTCATCCATGCCCAGACAAATTAATATGAAATGTTTCTCCATTTAGTACTAATTGCTGACTAGAAAGAGCATCCACTACCAGCTTTCTTGCCATCGATATTAAAAATGATAATCGTTATGATGATATTGTTAAAAATGAAACGATATTGATGGTCAGAATATGAATGCCTAGCTAGTAGCTAGCTAAACCCAGCCTCACCATGTACACTGCTTCGTAACTCTCCCACATCAGAGACATGTCTGACAGTATATCCTCCACTGCTTCCTGCCTCCAGAAGGTCATCCCTCTGGATTGGTATCATAAACTCAAAGTGAGACATCTTTGCCTGGAAAAGAAATAGTTACTTACCCATGTGACAAATTAAGCGTGTTACATTTAACAACAAGATAAGACATAAATGATAAGGGCATGGACAAATCAGAGATCACCTGAACTAATGACCTGTGTGATTGCAAAACACATTGCATAAAATACCCAGAAACAGAGCATGGCATGTCACCCAGTCTGCAAAGTATGGCAATTTCGACGAGATCTCGTCAGTATGGGCTTGTTTGACTGGTGCGGTGGCCGGTGTGGTGCGGATTCAGTAAAGTGCGATGCGGAATTGGTGGGTGACGGACATCGCATGACAGACCAGACGAGATAGATGAGGAAAATCGAAAAAAAAAAACATTGCTGGAGCTTCGACATCACGTAATTCAGTGTGCTCTCGGGTCTAAATGAGTGTGCAGTGGTCAGAACGGACTGCCAGTGCTGGTGGTCCCATCAAGCACGTGGGTCGCCCGCAAGTTCGCACTCTTTGCACTGCTACCACAACACGGAACGCACCGCACGGCTCTGCGAGGCGCCGGCGGTAGAGTGAGAGAGATGAGCACGACCGATGAGAGGGATTTGATATTTGTATGGCCGATGCAGATGAGAGGGCCAGAAAATCACCGCTCCGCCGCTTCAAGCAGTCAAATGCGAACACTATATCTGGGTTTCTGTTTTTGTAACTGGGGCCTTCAGAAGTTGTCAAGTTGTTTAGCTAAGTGGCAGTGTCGACACCATTAGGGTAACCATAATACATCGCACAATAATCACCCTGGATGAGTCGCCGCCAATACAAGAGCCAGATAGGGTTCTTATATTGGCGTGACATGCTCTTTGTTCTTGACGCAGTGCGCATTTCTCGCTTCGTTTCCATACTACTGATATGGGAGGCTTGTGGCTCATATCAATAAATAAAGTCAGTGCGGCTTTCAACTGGTCACTTGTGCGGGTTCGTGGCAATTTTTCATACCCTCGGCCAGCTTCGGTGCGGATTTTCCGGCTCTGTTTGAAGCCCAGACTGGAAAACAGCCATACACTACGCCGGGCGCCCGTGAGACCCTCTTGCGCCGAAATTCGGCGCAAGCGATTTTGCGCTGAAATTTCTGTGATTTGCGCCAAAAATTAGGTGCCTATTTGTGCGAAAATTAAGCGCTTTTTATTTAAAGCACATGTGCACATCTACCGATCAAGGCTATATGAACCAGACAGAGTGTTCCGGGCCTTGTATGCTCTCCCATGTTTGAGCGTCCGAATGAGTTTTTCATTTCCACAGAAACCCAATACCTCAATAGTCTTAGCGCACTCTAGCTTCATGCCGTGAAACAAAGGTGGAGCCGTGAGTTCCGGGACCACAAATTTGTGCCGATGTTAATATCGGCGGAGCAGTGTGTTCGAGGGTGGGAGTGGCAGCGAGGGCCGGGCAGCGGAGCAGCATGTGCTCCGGCACATCACCCTCTTCTCGGCACACGGCGCAGAGCGCCGCGGGGCACCGCTTGTCTGGGCACTGCTGGCACGCCGCGGAGTGGAGACAGCCGATTCGGTGCCGTATTGGAGCGAGCGGCCCCAGTGGCCCGCCCTCATCTGGTGCACCGAAACGGCATCCTCTCGGTCCGCTCCGGGGATAGGGAGCGGCGACGTGCTCCCGAGGAGTGGCTTGAATAGTGATTCTGAGCAGTTGTCGCGCCACTGATGCGAGGCCGCACAGTGAACCGCCCTGGTCAGCGAGTGGGCGTTTGAGGGCAGGGCGGCCGCCTGTTTTGCCAGGTCGTCCGCGCTCTCATTCCCCTCGATACCGCAGTGGGCAAGAACTCACTGCAGTATTGCTTAACGACGCTTGGCGATGTTCATTTCAACAAGGTCTTCCATACCTATCTCCACGCCGAGGGTTGAGGCCTCACCTGGGCAGCCGCTTCTCCGCTGAGTTCGAGCGGTTCACCAGTTCGAGCACGCGACGACCGGGGCGGGGAGGTCTCGTCCCGAAACCTCTCCAGAGCCGCCCGCGGGGCGAAGCTGCTGCTAGATTGACCAGCGTACCGCATAAATTCGGTGACCGTCTTTCGCCAAAAAATTATGCGACCGCCGTGTGCCGAAAAATTCGTCCGCCGCCATGCGCTGATTTCGGCGCATGCGAAGTTACGCCGGCCGGACGTGCGCGGAAATTTTCGGCACAATCCCGCCACTACGTCGGACATATTCAGCATAACGTGTACCAATTATTTCCAGTCTGGTAATTGAAGCATCAGTGCGGATTTTGAGCTTGGGCTGGTGGGCACCTGGGGGCTGGGCGGTGCGCCTCGTCGACATGGGAGCCATACTTTGTAGACTGGCATATCACCGATATAATATATGCTAAAAAATGAATAACGCAGGCCAAGATAACTTCAGGCCGATTGCCGACTGTGGCAGGCTTGGCAAGTGACAAGTGAACACTTGTGAGTCACTATCTTCCTAACTGACAAAAAAATATCAAGTTAGAAGAGATAAAGCGAGATAAAATAAAATAAAATGAGTACGTACGTACCTACCTAACAATAAACATCCGAGTCGAGTCTCAGTGGTGGACATTCTGATTCGGGGGAGGTAAATAAAGGGCACGTATTTTGGGACTGCAACACAAATTATAGCACTTTGAAATAATATTACTTTAAATTCTTCTCATATGTTATGTACCTATATGTTATCATTACCTATAGGTTGTTAATTATTAGATTCTGTGAGTGATACATTTTTAAACTTGTATTGTTAATTTTTCTGGAAATTCAGTAACAGTTATTGCTGCATGCCAGGTGGCTAGCTCTCCGAAATGGCCACTGCCTCAGCTTGATACAATTTGATAACTGATATCTAAAATGATATCTAAAAATAAAAGATTCATGCCACAACACCAATGGATTGGTTCACAATTCACATAAGCTACTTATGGCACTTCTTCACAGGAAGTGTGCAAAAGAGAGCCGAACAAAGTACCTACAAATCCTGGAAAATACTGTAACTTGCCTTTTTATGTTCCGAATTTTCTAAATATTACAATTACTAGAAAAAGAATCAAATTTTACAAATTTGACACTACCACTGATTGTTGTTTGCGCCAGATTCGAACCAAATAATCCAGCTACGTTCGAAAATTAGCGCGGATCAAAAAATGCTGACGAGTAAATTATGAATGTATGATCTAGCGGCTAATACACACAAAATAAATTCGAAGTTCAATTAGTTTTCTACATTTTAAAGTGGTTTTTATCTAACATTGAGTTGAGTATAATTTTTCGGGTGGGACTAAATGCTTACTTCGAAATCTAAGCTACGTTGCGGCATTGGCGGTTATGTGCGGCGTGTATGCCGCATTATTAGTAAGAGGCGACCACTAAATTAAAGACTCAAACGCTCCGACCGGTTCTCAATGAATAACACTGCATACCAAAAATGCCAACCGCTCTCGTCATAAGATATTCAGCTTTAAATAACTAGGTTATCTACATCATCATTTTGAACCAAACTAATACTTTCAACTTAACTCACTCATTCCTTCCTTTGTTGTCTCCAAACAGTCGTTCGATTGTCTGGAAATCGTATGCTAAATCCCGTACCTGTATGCGACTGGTGCATATAAAGGCCGATAAAAGAATTTGAATGGGCTCTGGCATGCGATTTCCTGGCTACCCAAAAAAGTCTGTTTCAGTCTTGCTATCAAAACATGACCTCGCCCGCACAGGGGGGGGGGTGGATGCAACCCCCCTAAGGTTTTTCGCGAATAACTCGCTTAAAAAGCGGCTGATCGCGACGAAACTTTCAGTACCCTCGCATTGATCAATTTAACACCCATCCTGAAAATTTCATGACCCTGACCCAAATGACCTTTGACCTGTGACCTACTTTTCGAGACCATGTTTGGCCGGAACCGCGATTCAGCGTATGTCGGCTCGCATTAGCAGCGCGTTTGCAGTCTTTTCGTGGTTTCAAGCGTTCAAACATGTGATATGATGTTGCCCCCATGCATTAGGGTGGGTGTCAAGGTCACCTGAAGGTCAGGTCAGGTCATTGACCTTTGGTGACCTCGGTTCACTTTTTCGAGTTTGACATGTTTCTAGGTCAGTTTTTTCGAGCTGAATTCGAATTAAGCAACCACATGAACGTTAGTACAAAGTAGTTTTGGTGCCTTCGTAACATGTTACGAGGCTGTCAGAGGCGGTTGACACCTACTACAAATACCTGGCAGGACCTCTACTGGTTGACCTGACCTGACCTAACCCGACCTGGCCTAAATGAATGAAGACATCATCTGTGATCAAAACTAGCATGATATTCGTGATCAGCACCCCGAAAAACCCCATAGCAGCCACACTACGACGTTCTAACAGGTCCCAATTTTCCCGCCTTTTGGGTCATTGACCTGACCTGGAAGGTCAACCGATAACCTAGGACCTTAAAATTGGGTATCATCGGCTTTCTCTCGTCACGGGCAACACGCTCGTTTTTTTCCGCGAAGCTCTAGCTTGATCAGGAGCGAAACGGCAAGGGGTTATACCTTATACGTTCGCGGCTGAGTATTAATTTGGTTCAAAACAATGATGTAGATAAGTTAGTTATTTAAATCTAAATATCCTATGACGAGAGCGATGGACATTTTTGGTATGCAGTGTTATCCATTGAAAACAGGTCGAAGCTATTGAATTTTTAATTTAGTGGTCGCCGCTTACTAATCATGCGGCATACACGCCGCACATAACCGCCAATGCCGCAACGCAGCTTAGATTTCGAAGTAAGCATTTAGTCTCACCCCTTCCTCATTTAATTTTAATTATTTTCGCTCAAAATTGCAAAAATCTTCTTTCTGTGTCAATCATAAAAATATGACGTCACAAAAAATGATGAATATTTTCTGTAAAGAAAAAAAAACGAATTCAATGTTATGAACATCACATTTAAGTGATATATCAACGTAATGATTTTAGAAAGATAAGAAAAACAATCATATTTCAACCAATATTGTTGCTTTGGCACTGAACTCTATTGCTTTGGTTATTTTAGCAACTTAAAGGGACCCTCCCACCTTCAAAAAAGTTAATGAATTGGCATGAAATTGATGTCGCTCGGTTCAGAAAGAGCAAAAACGAATATCTACCAAATTTCATCGAAAAATATTCACCGGTTTTCAAGATATTAGACTTTTACTTTTGTCTACTTTTTGGGATCTCCGCTGTTCCTAGCGACTTTATTTGAAAGTGCGGCATTTGTTGCGCGCAAAGCAGCATATACCACCGCGTGCTACCAAACGTTTTAGTAAAAGATTTAAAATCGTTAGATCTCCGCTGACGTCACAAATTCTAAGGGGGCATACCAATGCATTAGCCCCTTAGAATCCGAAAACTGCAAGTTTGAAATTCGATATCTCCGAATGAAAGCAGTTTTCGATGTTGTGAGTGCCCAAACCGGTATTTTCAGGCCATGGCCACCAATTTGGCTATCTCAACTCAAATCTAATGTTAAGGTGGGAGGGTCCCTTTATTAATGAAAGACGTCACAAATCTAGAATCGACTAAAAAAATAACTTTCTAGTGTTTTAAAGACAGCTTGACGATGTTGACATTTTTTCTCTGTGGGGGCTGGTGGGGGCGTTGCCGCGCGCGCGCCGTGTCAGTCTGTGATTCGCATTTTCTAGACAAGTTTAAGGATTTCGATGTAACGGAAGTTAGCAGGGATTCAGCAGGGATCGACGGCCCCTACGATTTCGCTGAATTTTGGTGGAGAGGTGCAGAATGGTGTCCTCTATCGAAAATCCTAGTGCCAAAATGCGGGGAATCCATCAGGGGGCCCGACTGGAAAAAATGCCTCCACTACGCTGAAGTTCTCGGCTCGGCGCAAGGGTTTATGCGCCGAAATTATTTTACCAAGCCATGCTTCATGCGCCGAAATTTTTCAAGGCTTACTGATGGCTGCAGGCTGTAGCCACGCACTTTTCGTCGAGGGGGAGGGGGGGCTGGCGTGTGTGTGTGGCTGTCTTCCAGTGACTACTGTCTACAGACGGTTGTTGGCACGGTCGACGGGATCGGGCAGACAATAGACATCAGCAGGCCATGCGGGACCGAGCACCAGCGTTCCGTTCGCTATCACAAAATCTCCTGACTCACAAACTCACTGGCATGTTCCATAACGTAACCTTTATTTTGTTGCCCGGCTCTGATCAGCAGTATGTGCCCAGCCGGTGACTGACGCCTGACGGGGCCTTCAACAGGCGTGGTGCAAGCACGGTCGATGGGATCGGGCAGATACCAGGCCACGCGGGACCGATTGCCAGCGTCCGCTCGCAAACCACACGCCGGAAATACAGGAATCACAATGGTCAATACGCAAACGATAGCATACGTTATCTGAACTAGGGGATCCGACAATCCATAACCTCACTCGATCGGTGAACTGTCCCGCCGTGGGAGAGTCGCAATCAGGTTCACTGAACATGACTTAAATACCCTGAGACGAACACGAGACAAGATAAGTGATATTTAAGATGTTTAACTCCCGAAGACATTTAACCCTCGCCGGCCGAGGGGGGTTGGTGCCACCCCCTGACGGGTTTTTCGCGACTGCTCCGGAGCCGTTTGCGATAGAGGGATAGAGAAAACCGTCGATTTACGCCGAAGTACGCCGAAAATTTCGGCGCAAGCCGTCGATTTACGCCGAAGTACGCCGAAAAATTTCGGCGCAAACGCCCAACTACGCTCGAGTTCTCGACGAAAGCGTGCATTTTTTCCAGTCGGGTCAGGGGGGCCACAAATCCCAAAAAACAGTATGCCCTCAGGGCACAATCGACGAACTTTGAAAACCCTACTTCTAGCCGTCAAAACAGCTAAAAATGCACGTCATTCGAAAGAGGACAAAATTTTACGTACAACGGTACCAAATTTAGGGGGCTAGCGCCCCCCTGAACCGAACAAAACAGCTTCAAATATATGGGCCCGGGAGTATGCCCTCGGGGCATAAATAATTGTTTTCAACAATTTCAGGCCTATAACATCGACAAAATCCAGCAATATGCACATCATTGGAAAGAGCGTAATTTCCCAAACAAAAAACCCAAGTAACATTTTTCGATGGGGCCCACCTGGGGCCCACAGGACCCAATTGAAATTTGGGGCCCAATGGGGCGGCCCCTACAATTTTCTTCAAAATTGGCACAGACACTCTCCTGGGCCCCCTCTTTAATCCGGCTGAAGAAACCTACCGGGGAATCCAAAGGAAGGGGCCCAAAGAGGCCCTTTCTAAGTATTGCCCCTAATTTCGCGACCAACCCCGGCAATATGCACATCATTGGAAAGAGCGTAATTTCCCAAACAAAAAACCCAAGTAACATTTTTCGATGGGGCCCACCTGGGGCCCACAGGACCCAATTGAAATTTGGAGCCCAATAGGGCGGCCCCTACGATTTTCTTCAAAATTGGCACAGACACTCTCCTGGGCCCCCTCTTCAATCTGGCTGAAGAAACCTACCGGGGAATCCAAAGGAAGGGGCCCAAAGAGGGCCCCAAAGAGGCCCTTTCTAAGTATTGCCCCTAATTTCGCGACCAACCCCGGCAATAGGCACATCATTGGAAAGAACGTAATTTCCCAAACAAAAAACCCAAGTAACATTTTTCGATGGGGCCCACCTGGGGCCCACAGGACCCAATTGAAATTTGGGGCCCAATGGGGCGGCCCCTACGATTTTCTTCAAAATTGGCACAGACACTCGCCTGGGCCCCCTCTTTAATCTGTCTGAAGAAACCTACCGGGGAATCCAAAGGAAGGGGCCCAAAGAGGGCCCCAAAGAGGCCCTTTCTAAGTATTGCCCCTAATTTCGCGACCAACCCCGGCAATATGCACATCATTGGAAAGAGCGTAATTTCCCAAACAAAAAACCCAAGTAACATTTTTCGATGGGGCCCACCTGGGGCCCACAGGACCCAATTGAAATTTGGGGCCCAATAGGGCGGCCCCTACGATTTTCTTCAAAATTGGCACAGACACTCTCCTGGGCCCCCTCTTTAATCTGGCTGAAGAAACCTACCGGGGAATCCAAAGGAAGGGGCCCAAAGAGGGCCCCAAAGAGGCCCTTTCTAAGTATTGCCCCTAATTTCGCGACCAACCCCGGCAATATGCACATCATTGGAAAGAGCGTAATTTCCCAAACAAAAAACCCAAGTAACATTTTTCGATGGGGCCCACCTGAGGCCCACAGGACCCAATTGAAATTTGGGGCCCAATGGGGCGGCCCCTACGATTTTCTTCAAAATTGGCACAGACACTCTCCTGGGCCCCCTCTTCAATCTGGCTGAAGAAACCTACCGGGGAATCCAAAGGAAGGGGCCCAAAGAGGGCCCCAAAGAGGCCCTTTCTAAGTATTGCCCCTAATTTCGCGACCAACCCCGGCAATATGCACATCATTGGAAAGGGCGTAATTTCCCAAACAAAAAACCCAAGTAACATTTTTCGATGGGGCCCACCTGGGGCCCACAGGACCCAATTGAAATTTGGGGCCCAATAAGGCAGCCCCTACGATTTTCTTCAAAATTGGCACAGACACTCTCCTGGGCCCCCTCTTCAATCTGGCTGAAGAAACCTACCGGGGAATCCAAAGGAAGGGGCCCAAAGAGGGCCCCAAAGTGGCCCTTTCTAAGTATTGCCCCTAATTTCGCGACCAACCCCAGCAATATGCAGATCATTGGAAAGAGCGTAATTTCCCAAACAAAAAACCCAAGTAACATTTTTCGATGGGGCCCACCTGGGGCCCACAGGACCCAATTGAAATTTGGGGCCCAATGGGGCGGCCCCTACGATTTTCTTCAAAATTGGCACAGACACTCTCCTGGGCCCCCTCTTCAATCTGGCTGAAGAAACCTACCAAGGAATCCAAAGGAAGGGGCCCAAAGAGGGCCCCAAAGAGGCCCTTTCTAAGTATTGAACCTAATTTCGCGACCAACCCCGGCAATATGCACATCATTGGAAAGAGCGTAGTTTCCCAAACAAAAAACCCAAGTAACATTTTTCGATTGGGCCCACCTGGGGCCCACAGGACCCAATTGAAATTGGGGAATATTTGTTTCTGGTCCCTAAAAAGCTGTTTCTGGCACCTAATTGCTGATCAGCCCCAAAATGCTTATTCGACCCTAATATCTGAATCTGGCACCTAATTGCTTCCACACAGCCTAAAGTTGCCAGATCGTCTAGTTGAACTCCGTATTTGCTGTTTGCTGATTCAGCGCCAAAACCAAAACATACAGCACCTATTTTATTCCACGTTTGCCTACCTAATTCGCGTAAGCTTCCTGATTTTATGTATCCTAACAACATGAACGTTGCATTCGGTGATGTCAAGTGCCATTTTCGCCAGTGGAGATAATGATTAATGCCATTTCTAGCCAAAAGAGAATCACTAGCCAGCTATGGTGCAGCATAGCAAGACGCTCCTATACCAGCCCGCTATGTAGAGACTAGAGATTATTGCACCCTCAGCCATTTTAACGTGAAAAGTTTGGATCCGTCACTTCCAGCCAGGCTCTCAGGTCATAAACTGGAGTAAAGCAAAATGTCAACTCTGAACAGACATGCCACGCAACCGGCCCTCTTTTCAATATTATTAGCTTTCTGCAATCATCGTCTGACTCCATCTCGATCAAACGCAGCATCCGGTTTCTACAGGGGCGTTTGACTGACCGGCCACACAATAACCAAAAACAAAATCAAAGCTTCATGCACACATATGACATAAGCATAAGAAACGGATGAAAAAGGCACAACCACGGCACAACTGTGCGCGGCAAACATAGATATAAAGACGCGGCAAACAACGGACAATGTCCCACGCAAGATCCCGCGTTTCTTCAGCGGCCTTGAACGGAATGAAAACATTACATTTCTTTTTTGGAGCTATTTGATGACATCAAAAAATACAATACCCGTTTTAATGGTCAAAATCGAGACAATTACTCACAAAAATGTTTCCCTTTAAGCATTACAAATAAATACTTTTAAATATTTAAATGACATTGTTTTTTCAAACAAATCAATATTATTTGCTTACTTAAACGTCACATACAATGCTGAGATCACTACGGGGCTGTCTTAGAGTGTAGCTGCACTGGCAACCTTTAGGCTAGACTCCAGGGGTCATTATACCAGAACAACATGATTCTACCAGCCAGTAGTTCATTTTTCTACTAGATTGGTGCTACGTTCAGCATTTAGGTGCCAGATTCAGAAAAAAGAGTAAGGCGTACCGTTGAATAGGTGCCAGAAACAGCTAATTAAGGTCATTTTCCATGATTGGTGCTGGTATCCACCAAATAGGTGCTGAGGACCAATTTTGGGGCGAGTCAGCTTTTAGGTGCCAGAAATAGCTTTTCTGGGACGCAATTAAATGGCGTCCATTGAAATTTGGGGCCCAATGGGGCGGCCCCTACGATTTTCTTCAAAATTGGCACAGACACTCTCCTGGGCCCCCTCTAATCCGGCTGAAGAAACCTACCGGGGAATCCAAAGGAAGGGGCCCAAAGAGGGCCCCAAAGAGGCCCTTTCTAAGTATTGCCCCTAATTTCGCGACCAACCCCGGCAATATGCACATCATTGGAAAGAGCGTAATTTTCCAAACAAAAAACCCAAG